AGAGAGAGAGAGAGAGAGAGAGAGAGAGAGAGGGAGAGGGAGGGAGAGAGAGAGAGAGAGAGAGATGTCCTGTCTTGCATATGCCTGAAGGCACCTAACCTTTGTAACATGTACTGCCATTGTAAACGACCAAGACAAAATTCTCCCTGTGAAATGAATAAAGATTGTCATTGTCATATTCATGATGTGTACAGATTGCCGAGGTTTTGATCAACTCGGGTGTGCCTGTTGATGTCCCAGATGACTACCGCTGTTCACCTATCCTGTATGCTGTGCTCAATCGGCATTTTAACCTCGCTGACTTCCTCGCAGGTGAAAAAAAGATTGTCTTATTTTGAGTTTGGCTATTCACCTGTATTTGTTAGGAGAGGTGCAACTCTACTCATTTCTAAGATTACCAAAGAAGATGATTTTATTTTTTTTAACAAGGTTATGTCTTTGTGTTAAAATGCATGAAGAAAAGGAAAAGTGTATATGGTAAAGTATTCTTCATTTCCATCTGCTTTTCTGCGTTAGATTTCAGGGCTGGTCAACATTTCGTTTGTATTTTATTCACCCCAATGAAGTTCCAAAGACAGCTACAAATCTGTAAGACTAGATTTTTTCTTAGAACTGTACGAATTAGAAATAATAATAATAAAGCTTGTTAAGATTGAATTTGAAACAGAAAAAAAATCCCCCTACTAAAATATTCATTTTTCCATTACAGAAAAGAGTGGGGGCTACAAGGTGAAATACACGGATGGATTTGGACGAGGCTATCTTGCTGCTGCACTGTGGAGATCCTATTCCAAAGGAATTGACTCAAACACTTGGTAATCAGGAATCCTTTAAACGTAGTGTTTTTGTTGCCTCTGTCTGGCAGGAATTGTTCAACATGAACTTCGTTAAAAGTCCTGATTCGGCTGAAAACTATGGATTTTGAGTTATAGGCATATTTAGCTTCTTCATACTTTCCTTCAACTATTTCATAGAGTTAGAACCCCTTGAAGTCTTATTTTTTCCCATACCGGGCAAGTTTGTCAAGACTATTTCCTCATAAAGTCAATCTTTTATTTTTCTTTATCGCCTGTTTTCTCAAAACGCGGTCTTTCTATATACTTTTTAAAAATAACTTCCACCCTTTTTCATCCAGTCTTCATGAAATTTTCACAAAATGAAGAGAAGATGTAATACTAAAGACTTGTCTGTTGAAATTTTGATATATGAAATAGATTTTTGGTGGTGGTATCTGGAGTGTGGATTTTTACGGATTTTTTCCAAACTTGAATACTACATCATGAAAAAATTCATAAAAAATCTTTTCATTTGTTTAGGAAAAATTCAATGGACAAATTTGTAGATCTAATGTTTGTTAACATCCATGCAAAAAAACCAATCCATTTCCTTGAAAAATAAGTGCGGTATTCATTGCGTAAGACATGTCAATAAAATTCAATATGGCTGTCGTAGCCATGGAAACGAAACTTTTTTCTCAAATTTGATTGCGGATTTTAAGACTCCTTACTACGCTTGTAATATGCATGAAATTTGGTAAAATTTGACCCTGCAAATAAGCAAGATAGCCTTTGGGTGTAGCCCCCCTCTCTTAATGATTGCATTTTTTAAAGTCAAGTTTGTGACAACATTTTGGGGACCTTCTCTGGTTTTTTATGGTTTTTGGAGAATGTGTGGTAAAGAGAAACGCTTGTGCTTTTATTTTCCTTGATTTCCATAATATAAGGTGTAAATCTCTAAATTTTAAGTAAGAAAGTTGTCTACTGTGGTCTAGATGCTTGTTTTTATAACCAGAGAACTATACAGCTCAACTTCCACTTGAACAGGATAAAACAAGAACTTCCCCCAATTTGTCCTTTTTGTGACTATGCATATGAGACTGGATCATCACCTTTTCCAAAGTACAGCCCTAAAAATGACATCAGAGCTGCACTTCTCCCTCCAAGACCTAACATTGATAACACACTCTATGGAACATTACAGCACCTGCACCTGCAGCAAACTTGCACTTATCTCTACATGGCCCTGGACAGAAGGGCAAGAGCCCAGCTGTTGCTGGATCGATAACAACATATGTGAGGCAGTGTGGTGGAATCAGGCTCTCGTCAACTTTTGTGCATGTAGAGTTATTGGTATCATCCTAAAGCTTGTTCACCTGTCTTATTTGGATGAAAAAAGTATTCATCTATCTTGAATACTAAGTCGAGATATTTGCAATTGAAGGAGGTGGGGGGTCACCTGTTTTCAGAGGGAAAATTAGTGAGAAAATAGCCGCCAAAGATTAGTTATTTCCATAGCTTTAGAGCCTGTGCCTTTAATCAATGTTTTTCAGAAAATCCACATAGAAATGAGTTCTTTAATGGGCATGAAAGGTGTTGAGCCAAAAAACAAAAAAATTGATAAAAATTCACAAACCTGCGGAAAAATGCAGGTTTCTTCACTTTTATTATTTTGACGAGAGCCTGATTCCACCACACTGCCTCACATATTATAGCCTGAAAACAGAAGTTGGATATGTTGAAGAGATTTGAATCTTGAATTTTCCCTAGTTTTTTCCCCCGTCACAATTTCTTTTCAGTATGGTGTCATATTTTAGGTCATTGTTCCTGTTTTAGAAATGACAGGTTTGCTTGTGTGTAAGTTAATCTGTTTTTAAAAAATCTAAAAATGAAAAATAACTAAGGTAATCCAATAGCAGATCTTAAGTGCTAATTGCCCCGAATGTTTCTCTCTTTCATTATGTTTTGTAAATCTTTCTGTTCAGGTCCTTCATTGAGAGACTCATAGGCAAAAAACTGAATGTCAACCAACACTTTGACTTGCCTGTTGGAGAGCAGTGGATTCGACACAACAAAACTGTGGACCCAAACTACTGGATGAGGTGAAAATTTCACTTGGGATTTTTATTTTGTTTGTGACTGTTTTTTTTGGGGGGTAAGTGTTTTATGGCGTATGGTCATATGAGCACGCGGAACACATTAAAGATTTTCTGTTTGGTAAGAAATTTTGAATTTTGCGCAGGTGACGGTTGAAGCATACTCCTATCGATTTTTGGACCACCAAGGGATCTTTAACTTGCGCAACTTGCAGACGGAAACTTCGAGATTTTTCACCCGTATCTGGGAAGGCTAGATGTTAGATCTTACCTACTGTATGACCAGGCGTGTGGCTGTAAGACAGCAGTAAGAAGGAGCCAAGGAGAAACAGTGGAAAGGCTGCAGAAAATGTCAGGAGTCCAAAGGAGGGGGCAGAGGAGGTGAGGGGGTGGAGGCAGAAAGTGGAGACGAAAGCAGACGAAAGAACGTTAGTGAGCAGGAAAGGAGGTGAAAAGAGACAATTTTAGGGAAGAAACTTTTCCGTTGCTCTCCGGATTTGTACCCAGGACCTATAGAATGAGAGGCAAACACCGTAACCTCTCGACCACAGGAGTCCGGGTCTGTGACTTAAAAAGTCTCTTAATTATGACATGACCTTATGTAAAATAACTTAATTCTTGTAGCCTGGAACAAAAATGTTTTTGTTTTTTTTCATGATTGCTGATTTTATAATTTACGTAAAATCAAAATTTTGACATCATGAGGATCATCATCATCAGCCTAGCATCTGTGAAGTAGTATCACCTCTCGCAGTGAGTAGCAATGGTATTCATAATGTCTTCATAATTTTGGTTTTTGCAAGAGTTTTACAGTGCTTGAAACACAAATAGGTCATATAAGTGCCGAAAATTAGATAACTCACCGAAAGAGCCAGAGTTCTGTGATCTTTTTGCTGTTCTATTTATGACTGAGATTGTATGAATATGATTAATATCAACTCGGAAAAATAAGCTTGCCTTACTTTCACATATTGTAAATTTCTTTACTTATTTTTTTGTACTTTGTTCTTTTATTTCTTCAATAAGTTTACAAATTCACATCTACATATCCTTCATAATCATGTGGGCTATTTTTTTACAGCTACCGTGACCACAAGATAACGGCCTTGATCCTATCCATTCATATCGAGGATTTTGACATTTCTCACAATTTCCTTCAGTTTGGGGCGGATCCAAACCTATCAGACGGAAACAATCTGACTCCTCTCATGCACGCTGTGGTTTTGGTGCGTATAGTTAGCCTGCTTCTGGTTCTTTTAGGATGTTAATGATCTATTTTGGGATTTTGTTGCTCTATATTATGCTGAACTGCAGAAACAGTGCAGTACAAATACATTCACTTCTCATATGTTTAATATTTTCTTGCAAGTGCATAGAAAATTTTTGTTTGGAAAGTATTTGTTAGTTCACAGAAAGAAACTTTATTGTTATATATATATCATCATCATCCGGTGCCAGGTCTGCGACAGACATCGGCGATCTTGGTTCTCCATTCATTCCTTTGCTCTAAAAAAAGCCACGTTTCCCTGATCTTTCCCCATTACCTATTTGTTTAGGTTCCCCAAGTATGTTGTTCTGGGCCTTCCCCTGCCTCGTTTGCCCTGAATTTAAATGTGTGTACATAGATTTTCTTAACCTTTCATATCCAGAGCTCCACAACTTTCAGTGGCACGATCTATTTAGACCATTTAGGTCCAATTAATGAATAGGTTCATAATGATTAATTGACTATTGGAGAAGTCTTTTGGGACATCAGGACCCTTCTATACAGGAGATCCTTTTTCAAAGCTGATTCTCAGTTGGATGGGAGGATTAATCGAATGAAGATCAGTTGTATTTTACTGCAAGTCTGCTCAGCAGTGCCCTCATCAAACCAAAGAAAAATAGAAAAAATAGCTCGTAGATTGCTGTTTACGCTAGTCGTCTCAATTTATTAACAACATCTCTTCCTTTCCTCTCTTGTATCCCATTTATTCTGTCCGTCCATCTCACCTTGGATACTGATGCCTTGATGTGCTGTGGAACAGAATCTCAAGAACCATGTGAAGCAGTTGCTGAACTATGAATACGATCCAAAGTGCCCAAAAAATGTGAGTAGTAGAATAAAAGGCTGCTGCTATGTATTTGCTCAAGACTAGAAAAAGTATCCAATGTTGCTCTGGTATGCAGTAGTATTAAAAACATGCTGTTATGGGACATTGGAAAAGGTACTTTGAAGTTGAGTGCATATGTCTTTTTTTTACGGCACTCACAGCTGCATAAGGTCATATGAACGCGTGGGACACATTAAACATTGTTAGTTTGGTAGGAATTAATTTTGAATTTTGCCCTGATGGCGGCCGAAGCCTACTCTTATTGATTTTGGACCACCAAGGGATCTTTAACGTGCGCAGCTAGCACACGGGACCTCCGATAATTTTTGCCCATATCTGAGAAGGTTAGGTGTTAGATCTTACCTACCATAAGATGAAACGTGTGGCTGAAAGACAGCAGTAAGAAGGGCCCAAGGATTAGCAGTAGAAAGGCTGGAGAAAGAGTCAGGAGTCTAGAGGAGGGGGCAAAAGAGGTGAAGGGGTGGGGCAGAAAGTGGAGACAAAAGAAGACGACAGAACATTGTTAGAGAGCAGGAAAGGAGGTGAAAGGAGAACACTGTAGAGAAAAAATTTTTCCGTTGCTGTCCCGATTTGAACCCGAGACCTATTGAATGAGAGTCGAACACCTTAACCACTAGATCAAGAGAGCCCCCATGATATGTCTTGAGTTCCAAAGGTTTACTTAAAATGTTACCTCTGTGTTCATTTTTGCTCTCATAGAAACAACTGCATCTTTGGTACCGGTAATTTAAACATTTCTGTCAGCATGATGATGAACTATTTTGGCTGTTTTCTTTTAAAAAAATAACTTAATTATGTTTTAAAAAAAAAAAAAATATAAAAGGATCAAAATGATTGCTTTAGAAAAATGCTGACTTAACCATGCTGCCTGCTTATATGCAGACATTTGAGGAAAATATTTAGATTGATTGTGGGGTTGTTTTTTTTTCAGTCTGTTAAAAAATTTGATGAAGAAGCCACACTGAAGCCACTGAGTTTCATATGTGTGAAGACTTAATTCACAGTCAGTAATGAATCTTGCGTGCTTTCTGCTAATTAAGAAGTATCACTAAACGCAGAGCCAGTGTGGGTGGTTGACGGGTGCTCTGGTGTGGTTTGCTTTTTCTTTCCTATCAAACAACTATCGTCCTTATCTCCCCTTCTTCTATTTTATGTTTGTTACTCTCTTGTAACACCTATAATCTTCTGGCTCTCATATATATGACCGTATGCATAAAACCTCTACTAAAATTAAAACTAAAGCAGAGCCAGCTCTCAGCAGAAGCGTTCCTTCTTTGACATTCTTCTTCTTCTACGGCTGGTCTCCTCTGGAGGGTGGCAGCCTGCTGCATGCAGTCAGGTATGTGACAACCTCTTTCGGTTGGGTCCATAACACATCTGGTTCGGGCTGGGTATTGTCTTGCAGTAGCGGTTCGAGGTTCGTGGTACAGATCTCCATTCAGGCACTTAAATGTTGCGTGTCTTTGACATTCTCCTCACAGATACAAATGCTAGCCATCATTATTGTTATTCCTATTTGACACTTAATGCTTTCTAAAATACTGGGTTGTGATTTTTAAAGTTTATTTTTCCCCTCTCTGACAGTTTACTGGACTCAAAGAACATGAAACGCCAGCTGCAGAGCCAAAAAAAGGAGGAAAGAAACTGAACCCTTCTGTTTTCAACATTGTGTCTGTGGACAACGAGGCGTCTGATGATGAAAGTGAAGAAGAAGAGGAAGAAATGGATGTGGAAGATGAGGACGAGACCAGTGCTACATCGTCAGCTGGAGAAGGTAATTAATTACTGATTTATACCTGTAGATTATTTTATATAGTACTATATATTCACAATTTTCTTGACAACTACAGATTCTTTTCTGCAGTTGTTGATATTTTTTACACGTGACTCTTATTTAGCATACCGGTACATCAGTGTGTTTAGAGAGGCAAAGTTAAGGAACTGCTATTATTTTGTGCAGGGAGTGACCTACATATGATGTGATTTTAGTACGCTTTCAAAAAGGAAATATTAAAAGTGAGACTTCTTATTTATTGTGCTTCTGTGGAAGTGGTTTCAGACTTTTGAAAAATGTCTGAAATGACAGGGAAAACAAGGACTCTTGTTACAGGGTTTTTTTTACTGCTTTTCTGACTGTTTACCTACTTTTCTTCTGCAAACTCATTTTTATTGCATGGAATAGCCTGATTGAGTGTGATTTTGTTACTGAAGGCATTGATACCAATTTTATCTGTCAAGATAAAAAGTGAAGTAGACCTACATTGAGAATGCTATGGCCCAAGGGGACACCCACTGACAAAGCCATACAGCAGCAAACTATTAATTAGTCATGGGTGTAGGATGCAGCGCCCTTGCTGGTGGGGGACCCCATAGTTTTACTACGGGGGAGCAAAGAATACACCTGCCGTGATACTGTGTGTCGTAAGAGGCGACTAAAAGTGCATAGGTCTGGTCGCCCGAAAAGTGCCAGTTTGCGGAGGGCCAACTACCCAACCCAGTAAAAAACAGTAAGTTACAGAAACACGGACAAACACAGCTTTTTATTTTTCGATCTTGGGAGACGGAGGAGCTTCTGCATCAGCAGGAACAATGAAGGACAGCGGACAAAGCCGAAAGGACTCTTCTGACCCGAAGAATCACAGAAATCAATGTAGAGAAAAGTGGGAAGACATGGAATAACATCAAGAGGCTAGCCCAGGATAGAGAAAGGTGGAAGGTGTTTGTCCGTGGCCTATACCCTGGTGCAGGGTGAGAAAGGCAATGATGATGATGATGTAGGATGCAGGCTGACAGAAAAATGATTAAATATCATCAGTTTATCGTCCAGTAATAGAATCTGATAATGACTTCGGAGTATGAGTCTTTTCTCAGGTACCTGAACAAAATGCTTATTGAAGGAGTGAGCTTACTGTCAAAGGATGGCTTTGTAAAGTTACCTAGCGGTCCGATCAGTCGGGTCTGTCAGGGAGCCCCCGTCCAAGATAGATGTTGCCTTGTCCCTGTCCTGTCTGCGACTGAATCTCTCAGTGAGCCTCTTAGACGATCACCCCCTATGTTCCAGCGGCACCTTGTGACGTCATCCAAGGGCGTGCCACTCCCTTAATTATCTTGTCCCCACAGTAAAGATAAGAGTCATGTCCCTTGACATCACATGGATTGAATGAGAGTGTACATGACACATGAAAGTTTTACCTTTTGCTCACACATCTCTCATCTTGTGATGCTTCCTATCTCTTTGCTCCAGATTTCTTGCCTGTCAAGAAAACCAGCCAAGTCAAGTTGGATGTGAAAAACAAAGAGAATCAGACAGCCTTGCACTTGGTGGCGAGACCCAAACCTGAAGGCACCTATGACAACGAGGAAATCGCCTTTGTTTTGATTAAAGCTGGAGCCAAACAGACATTTGACAGACAAGGGCAGACACCGTTTGACTTGGCCCTGAAGTCTGGGGCCGTGAAAGTAGCCTGTCGTCTGAGATCTCTGTACGAGCTTCCCTCTAAGACTATGGTGAGCCAGTCTTTTTTTTGTGTGCATAACCTATACCGTAACTTATATCTATTTAAACTTTATATATTCGATCTCGGTGCTTTAAATAGTGACTGAGGGGAAGTGAATTGAGACATACCGTCACTGCGATGGCAAAATGGCGTAACTCAGAGCTGTGCCAAAATGCAACTAGCCTTTTACTTTGCTGTAAAAAAAAAAAAAGAAGAAAAATGTGCTGGCAGTCACAAAAGACACATGCTTGTGAAGCGCATAGCCTGCTGTTGAGCCGAGATTTGTGCTATACAGATGCTATCTATTATTATTATTGCATATGAAACTTGTATGGTTTAGTAATTCCATCTAGGTTATTAACCTCTGCCCTAGATAACACATATGTTGTTTGTCTTCTCTATGGAAACACAGAAGGTGCAGTATAAGAGAGACTTCAAAGTGACTGACGGGGTCCCTCCCAGCAAGGAAAAACTGACCGACTTCATGGAAGCTGCAGACAAAGTCCTCCAACGATTTGACTCCTCACAGATGGTCGTCGAAGACAAATACGTTCATGAAATTGATGAGAACTGCAATGTTACAAATGGGTAAGTGACATGATTTGACTCATACCTGATCTTGCAATTGTTGTGGGTTGGCTAATATTTCCAGTTTCAGCGTTTTAAAGAATGTTTGTTGTTCACATTATATATATATTTAATGAAGCAGAGTAGACATGTGACAAGCTTTTTGTCTTTTTGTACAAAGAGAGACACCTCTCCCATATGATCTTATGCAGTTGCGAGCGCTGTAAAACTCTTATAAAAGACAGGGAGACAATGTTCTTATTGCCTGCTTTTTTTTTTGAACGACCGTATTTTAGTGTTTTATTTCTTTCCCAGACACTGCAAGACCCCTCTTTTCATTAATGTTCTATTTAAGCCTAATTGACAAGTCAACAATTGCCATGTCATGCAGACATCTCAGTGAACTCTTGAAGGACATAGCAGACACACATGTCCTCATCAGCAGCAGACCAAAGACAAGACTGGGACACAGGTCAAAACCTCATATTCAAGGCAGAAACTCGAACTTGCATATTTTATAGTATGCATCTTGTTGCCTACTTTTTAAAGTTTCAGATAAGGAAAACAGATTTGAAAAATCTGTACGAAAAGTGAAGTTATGTTTCTTTTTTGAAGTGTCCCAAAACAGAACGTCTTCAGTGAGATAAAAAAGCTGAGAAGGGTCAGTTCTTGTTGGTAAGCACTCGTGCTGAGTTTTATTGTTCACTTTTGTGTGTACACGCAGAACCGTTTTGATGAGGATAAAGTCCTTTTACAGTCGAACCTGCTCTGACGGCCACCTGTATTAGTCAATCACCCGTACAAACGGCCACTTCCCATTTCCTCCCATGAGCATTTTTGATATTATAATGACACTGTTCGATCACATACCTGTCTAATACTGCTATTTTTCTCCTGGGCAACAGATGGCTGTCTTTGACAGTTTCGCCTGTATTTTAAATAAAGTCTTTGAGGCTGTTCTATTGCAGGGAATTGGTGAAAGACGAAGAACTGGACATGTACTATGATGTTCTCTTGACCAAAGTGGACGTCAACAGAGGAGAGTGGGGCTTGTATAACTTTTACCAGCTTCAGGTAAACTCGCTGTGAATGCAGTTACACTTTTTGTTGTATTGTTTTGTATGAAATGGGAACAAAAATAATTGTGTCACGACGCGGTGGAATCTGTTGCTGGACAAGTTTTGGGCATATGGCGTTAATAGTGTAATCTTAAAGCTTGTTCATTCGTCTTGCTTTTGATGAAAAAAATACACACCTATGTTGAATAGAAGTTGATATGTTTGTAAGTCAAGGGGTAGTGGGTGCCTGGTCTCAGAGGTAAAAACAGAGAGAAAAAAGCCATGAAAGTTTAGTGGCTTCTAAAGCTTGAGTGCCCATCAAAACTGCAAATTCTCATTTTTGTGCTCTCTTGATTGACATTTTTCAGTAAAATCCACACAGAAATAAGTGTTTAAATGACTAGAAAAGATGTTCAATAAACCCCCCCCCCCCCAAAACATACCGCTTTATGCTATGCTTAGTAGTAACATTAACAAACATATTTAGACGTTTCAGCAGTTTTCTTTTTTTCTTGCAGTTGGTATTTCAGCCCGGTAAGAAACTGTACGTTCTCTTCACCCGCTGGGGCCGCATCGAGGATTCTGGACAGTTCCAGCACACTCCCTTCACAGACAGAGAGACTGCAGTCAAAGAGTTCATGAAGATCTTCCGAGAGAAAACGGGCAACACGTGGCCAGAAGTCAAAAAGTAAGTTCAAGCTTTTTCTCTCGTGAATGAGCATGTACATGAGTTGGTTAAAACATGTGTGGGTGAGTCAGTTCATTTTCTCATTTTGGGTATGTCTGTTGAAAGCTTTCAGCGATGATGGGAAGATTAGAAGAAGGAAAGGTAGATGTTGTAGAGAAAACCAAAGTTGCATATAGGAAAAATTGCTCAGGGTAATAGAATGATCATGAAGTTTGCACGCTGATTATCCTTTTATTTGATTCTATGTTTATATGTATGTGAAATTATACCCTATTTAACATTTGTCTTTTGAGAAATTGCTGTATAAAATCACAAGTTTAGCTAAGCTAGAAAAATATGGTTAAACGAGATCAAGAACTATTTTTTAAAAGCATTCAACAGCAAAACGGTTAAAGATATTTATTTTAATTTTATGCACTTGCCTTCCAAAAAGATAAATTTATTAAAGGAAAAAAATCCAAATAACCTACTCCCCCACCCCCCACCTCCCCAAACCCAGCAACAAAACTATTCATCAGTACTCTTTTTCCAGTTAACATAATTTGCTTTTTCTCAAGCTCTATGTAACAACTTTCTGAATACTTATTTTTCTATTGATCTTTTTGCACTCCAGCTTTGAACAGAAGCCCAGAAAGTATCGCTTAGTGGAAGATGTAGCAAGGAAAGCACCACCCGCCCAGAAAGATGTGGACATCACTTTAGAAAGCAGCTGCAAGTCTGTGCTGCCCAACCAACTGCACTTTGTCATCAAAACCATGGTAAACAGTTCTGTTCTTTTGTTTTGTTAAGTGAGAATTGTGTTCATAAGAGAATGGAAGCTACTGCTTTCATTAGTGAAGTTGTTTGTGAAAGTAGTTCATCCATCAGTGTCTGATGATGATCAGTGTATCTGCAGATGGGAATATTTCTTATCTTATCTGTCTGTCTCTCTTTCTTTCTTCCTCCCTCTCCCCCCATCTCTCTCTCTCTCTCTCTCTCTCTCTCTCTCTCTCTCTCTCTCTCTCTCTCTCTCTCTCTCTCTCTCTCTCTCTCTCTCTCTCTCTCTCTCTCTCTGTCTGCCTGCCTGCCTGCCTGCCTGCCTGCCTGCCTGCCTGCCTGCCTGCCTGCCTGCCTGCCTGCCTGCCTGCCTGCCTGCCTGCCTGCCTGCCTGCCTGCCTGCCTGCCTGTCTACCTGTTTCAACTACGGTAGATAGTTACACAATCTTCTACCATTGACCAGAAAGTAAATGTGACAATTCTGTTTGACATGAACATGCTGCATTTTTCTTGTATCATAACAGTTCATACTTTTTCTGATGTCATTATCACAATTGAAAGTAAACATTTTCGAGAAGTCATAGATTCATTATAATAAAACAGAAATCCGAATTCATCAAATTTCAAACCTGCCCACTGAGAACCGAGATATTCTTCACTGTCTTGAGATATTCACTTTCAGAACATGCTATCATGAATGAATGTCACTTTCCTATTTGTTGCAAATATTGTCAAAATTCTCCAAGCAGGCCACCCACTGTCGAGGAGAAAAGTGAGACTGTCTTAGACCGGTGGATGTCTCACACAGGGTCATTATAATATTTGTGAGGCAGCGTGGTGGAATTAGGCTCTCGTCAAAATAATCAAAATGAAGAAACTTGCTTTTTCTCTGCAGGTTTGTGAATTTTTATGGAATTTTTGTTTTTTGGCTCAACACCTTTTATGTCCATTTAAGGAACACTTTTCTGTGTGGATTTTTCTGAAAAACGTTGATTAAAGGCACAAAAAATGTAAATTTTCAGTTACCACGAACTCTTAAGCTAAGGAAATAATTAATCTTTGGCGGCCATTTTCTCTCTAATTTTACCTCTGACAACAGGTGACCCCCACCTCCTTCTTTCTCAAACATCTCAATTTATATTCAAGATAAATGGATATTTTTTTCTATCCAAATAAAGACAAGTGAGCAAGCTTTAAGATGATACCAATTACTCTTCATGCCCAAAAATTGACGAGAGCCTGATTCCACCACGCTGCCTCACATTAAAACAAAAAACTCAAGGGGGGAAATGCGAAGTGGCTGTTTGTACATGTGATTGTTTTATACAGGTGGCCGTTAGAGCAGGTTTGCTTGTTCAGTGGCAGTTGTTCGGGGTGGCCACCCATTGTGAAGGAGAAACGTTGTTGTCTTAGACAGATGGATGTCTTGAACAGTGTCATTATTATATGTGAGGCATTGTGGTGAAGTCAGGCGCTCGTCAAAATAATGACATTGAAGAAGTTGGCATTTTTCCACAAGTTTGGCAATTTTTATTGATTTGTAAATTTTTGTAAAATTTTCAACACCTTTTAAGTCTATTTAACACTTTGCAGTCACCTGTGGCAATAACGCGCTGTTGAAAATGATCTGTTCCGGGTACCTGGCCCGAGAAGTCCGTTGCAGTCGCTCTCTTGGCTGGGTGTCCTGATAGGGTATTTTGTACTGCTGGCTGTGTTAAGAACACTTTTCTGTGCGGATTTTACTGAAAAACGTTAATTAAAGGCACCAAAAAACCCATAAATTTTCAGTTTCCATGGACTCTGAAGCTATGGATATAACAAAACCAGGCAATCCCCACTTCCTCCAATCTCAAATATCTTGACTCGGTATTTTTTTTCACGGAAAGCAAGACAACTGAACAGTCTTTAAGATTATACCTAGCACTCCACATGCTCAAAAATTGATGAGCGCCTGATTCCACCACGTCGTGAAACATATAGAAAAAAACTCAAGGGTGGGAAATGGTTGTTTGTAGAAGTCTTTGTCTTGGACAGGTGGCTGTTTTTAGAGCAGGTTCAACTGTAGGCTACCAGTTCTAGCACATTTTCTAAAGTAATGCTTTCATTTGAACAATCTGCACCTCAGATGAACCCAAAGAAAATGCAGCTGTCTATGAAAGCCACCCGCGGACTGAGCACCGACTGCCTGCCTTTTGGCCAGCTCAACAAAGAGAGACTGATGCAAGGGAAACGCATCCTGGAGGAAATAGAGTGAGTTCATTTGTTATTTCGCTACCTTAGAATGACAAAGTTCTATATGACATTTTTGGCTGTTTTGAGTTATTAAGACCATGACGTCAGAAACCAAATTGTCTATCTGGTCGATTAAAATTGTTGGGTTATTCGGAGCCGTTATAGGGATATTCAAAGAAATGCATTTGAAAACGCTTGACGTGATGTGAAACTCAAAATCTTTGACGTCAAGTTTCTCAAAACTAGGTACTGAGCAGATAGAACTTTGTAATTCTGAGGTGGCGAAGTGTTGCTGTTTTTGTCTTCGATTCTTTAATCAAATACGTACAGTCGAAATTGTCCAAGACAGCCTTCTATTGCCGAGGGGAAAAGTGGCCATTTGAGAGAGGTGTGTGTCTTACACGGTGTGATTATAATGTAAAGAAAGTCTGAGAGAGGTGGGTGTCTTACACAGTGTGATTATAATGTAGAAAAACAAAACAAATGGCAAGGTAGGGAAGTGGGAAGTGACTTTTTGTACAGGGGATCGTCTTGTTTAGGTGGACCTCCCAGGGCAGTGCCACTGACTACTGACTGTAGTGTCTTTAGGCCATTCCCAAAGGGGGGAACATTTCTCGTTCAAGCTCAGTAGAATTGTAAATGGGCTGATTCATGTCACGCTCATAACTGTGCCTGATCTACAACAGGGAACTGCTGCTTTTTCTTTCCTAATCCTTACTATTGTCATTTTCCTCTACTTCTTTTGTATGTTTGTCACTCTCTTGTGACCTGCTATTTCCGGGGTGCCTTGATAGTCGAAGCAGACCTTGTGCTGTTGAAGCTAGAGAGGTGAGCAGAGTAAGTCTGATTCCCTGTAAAGACTTCTCTGTTGACACCCACCCCTTGGCACTCATACGACCTTATGCAGTTTGGAGCGCAGTAAAACCCTCTACTATAATTTAAAAAATAATAAAATAATAAATTGTTTAGGTGGCCACTAGAGCTGGTTTGACTGTTATGTTATCCCCTCTTGTATTGCTTACATGAAACACTCTACATAAATAGAACAGTAAAAACACAAGGGGGAAAAGGCTTGGGAAATAAATATATGTGAAGCGTGCTGGAAAAATGAGTTAAGTCTCGGATAGATAAATCGCACTCATAGGTGAAGTTTTTACTATCTATAATCTATAATAATTATAGGCTTGTTATAGTTAAAGAATATGGCATCAATAGAAAATCTACAAATTTGACCCTAGTGTTGATTTTTGGTCAATATCTCCATTTGTGGATAGCTAGAAGTAACTCATTTTGTCAGCACACCTCACATAATTATATAAGTTTGTATATGTCTAGGGCAGTGTCAGTTAGTTTTAGTAGAGGTTTTAGGGCGCTCGCAACTGCATAAGGTCATATGAGCGCCAAGGGCAGTGTTGTTATATAGAAAGAATGCTACGGGTGAAATTTGAAGTGGTTGTTTGGACAAGTGATTGTCTTGGACCAGTGGCCATGAGAGCAGGTTCAAGTGTGATTCCATATTTTCTGTTTCCTATTTTGTAAAATAATTATGGTGGACAAATTTTTTTTCTTTCAGGAAACTTGTTGACCAAGTGGAGAAGTACAGAAAAAGTCATAACCGACACGATGAGGTAGACCCAGAGGAGAAAGCCAAGTACAAAGAACATTTAGAAAAGGTATGGACTTACCAAGTCATTTGTGAGGCATTGTGGTGAAATCAGGCGCTCGTCAAAATAGGGACAGTGAAGAAAAAGGCAATTTTCTGCCAGTGTGGCAATTTTTATTGAATTTTTTTTTTTTTTGGCTCAACTCCTTTTATGTCTATGTAAAGACACATTTACGTGTGAATTTTACTGAAAATGTTGATTAAAAGTATAAAATGTGTAATTTTTCAAATTAAAAGGACTCTCAAGCTATTGAACTTACCAAACTTTGGCGGCCATTTTCTCACTAATTTTACCAATGAAACCAGGCGACCCCTCCTCTTTCAATCGCAAATATATCGACTTCTGTACAACATGGATGAGTATTGTTTTTATTGCAAGCAAGGCAAGTAAATAAGCTTTCAGATAATACCAATAACTTCACATGCCCAAAAATTGACGAATGGCTGATTTCACTGTCTCATGACATATATATATATATTTCTCAGCACAGTTTCAATCAGATTTACTTTCTGCTCTCATTACAGTACTTTTCGTAAAAGTTTTTTTTCATTCGTCTGATCTTCTGTTTCTTTATTTAATAAATGAACGGAAGGTAAGACTGACTCTCGATCAATGTTAAAAGCAATTTTGAGCATGCTGCTACAATTCTTTTCCAGCTGAAATTCTATTATTTGTTTTTCCCCATTTGGGTAATATCAGAAAATGCTCTAACACTTAACAAGTTAGTGGCTAATGCTTGTAAATAGTCCTCTACACAGGCATTGTTCCCAAATCGTTTGTGGACATTATTACATAATTGATGTGAACCTTCTTGCTTCATGGAGTCTTCATTATGTTTCTCTGTCTCACAGATTGATACACTTAGCAATGAATACTTCCACGTTGTGCCGCAAAAAAATTTCTCTTGCGAGAAGCTCCGCCCCCTTGACCAGCGCCAGCGTCTGATGCAGCAGATCCAGAACCTCAGTAACCTGCTGGACTATGAGGTCGCCTGCAAGATGCTTCTGGGGGCCATGGCGAACAGGAAAGGTACCTACTGGCTACCTGAGAATTAAAAATTTCTATCTGCTCAGTGTGTAGTTTTGAGAAATTTGACGTAAAAAAGTTTGAATTTCACAACATGTCAAGCTTTTTCAAATGCAGTTCTTTGAATATATTGTTAACGACTCGGAATAATCTCACGATTTTTATAGAGTAGATAGAATATTTGGTTGCTGACCTCATCATGATCTTAGTAACTCAAAATGCCCAAAAATGTTAGATAAAACTTTGTAGGGCAGGTTGCTGTTAGAGCAGGCTCTACTGAACTACTGTATTATGTTTATTTGTCAAGTTATCCTGTGAACTTTAAATTTTCAGTTGTTACTCTCTTGTAACACATCTATTTTTCGGCACTTCTATGACCTTATTGTGTTGCAAGTACCGTAAAACTCTTACGAAAACAAAAATTTTTCAGTTGATGCATTATTAATGCTCAATTTTTTTTCCCCGCTCGGAACAGTCTACAATCCAGTTGACTACGTGTATCGCTGTCTGGACTGCAAGCTGGAGCTTCTTTCTTCAGATGACCCCATGATGGAAAGGATTCTGTGCTACATTTGGTTCAGTGGTGAGTTTTACAGCAATCACTCATATCCAACCTTCTGTTTTGCTGCTATTCATCTGGATAGAATTGGAATTTCAATATACTTACTATTCATAGCATTGCTTGCTCATTCTTTAGTTTGTTTGCTTCATAAAGCTATTGTGTCAGTTTTATTTTGTGAACAAATTATTCCCGTATTTTTTTTCATTTTGTGGATAAATTTGCAATACCTATGGGTTTTTTTTGTCAAAGATAATTGTTTTTTTTACATCTCCTTTCTTGCAACAGCAAGCTACAGTCATTCACAATGTACATTGGGAATATAAAAAAAAAGGGGAAGTTAAATGTAGTAAGAATTTTATTTCACTAAAAAAATATTCTCCCTCATGATCCATCAATACAGACAAAGGGAATTCAACAGTGCAAGCTATCTACAAAGTTGCCCGTGAAGGAGAAGATGAGCGTTTCCGGGCGAAAGAACCGCAAAATCGACGCTTTTTGTGGCATGGAACGAGCAACTCAAACCTGTTGAGTATCTTGAGGCGTGGCCTTCTGGTGGCTCCCGCGGAAGCAAGAAAAACCGGTTGGAGGTTTGGAAAGGTACAATGTACAACTGATAATGACAAAATAATACAAGATTTCATTGATACTGCCCTTTTTCATCTCGATGAGATGCTCAGTGTGCATTACAGAGCGATAGGTAGGGCAGACACATGAACAACCGAGAAGAGTTTTTATAAATAAGTCAACCACAAAACTTGCACACAATTAAGCATACTGGTACCTCAATAAAAAGCCACTGTAACGATAAACAGGTAGGAATATGGACATAAAAATATAAATCAGTAGGCCTACACATATAGATACACATTTGGATATAAATAGCATGGTTATGGTTGACAACTGACAATGTGAAAAAGAATGAGTCTACTTGTTGGATAAAAGAGATATAAAAATGCTCTGTGGTTACAAAAAGATTGTCATCACATCATGGATAAGATCTGTAGTCACCCTTGATTATCTAGTTGGTAAAAACCTTATGACACGCATATATTTATGGAGATGGTAATAATAGAATCTGATCACTGATGTTTCGATCACAAATTAGCTGATAAATAGATGAGTGTTCTGGCTACTTTTAAAATTAAGTCAAAGTTGTCGCTTGCCTGATTTTGTATTAAATGCTCTTTGCCGGACATTGATGGACAAATTATTATTATAATTATACAACCTCTTTTATCTTCCTAGGACAAGCTTTTTTTTCCTCTTCAACAGTTTGAGGCCGTCTTGGATAATTTTTACTGCATATAGACTTGTATTGTTTGTGTTGGTGTCATATATCTGTAGGCTATCTGTTATTTGACAAGTTTCTTAGATGTATCTTTCATGTTTTTGTTTCAGGGCATCTACTTTAGTGACCAGTTTGTGAAGAGCAAGGGCTACGTTGCACGGGCTACAACAAACTTCATGCTGCTTTGTGAGGTGCGTTCATAAATAGTTTTTCTGTACTACTGTGCCAAGGCAGAGTGGCGTATCTGCACTTTTTATGATTTTGAGTTACGTCGCGCTGCCATTGGAAATATGGGTATGGCCCTTCAGTTACGTCTGTTTGCCATAGTGAAATATCCTCTTTGTAGTGCAGATACGTCTTCTTGCCTTTGACACAAGATGCAGAATAGGTATAGGCGTCCATTTAACGGAAATGTAAAGTTAATAATTTTTGCTGATATGTTGGTGTGCCTTGGCACGGCAGTGTATACCGAATGTATAGAGACGTTGTTGCTGGTTTTCTTACTTGTTACTTGTTACTTGTGTGAAGGACCGACATCACTGCACAAGGGGCATCCCCATAAGCGCTCCGTCCCCTGAAGAAGCACATCTCGAAGTGAGTAGATGCTGACGGTTCCAAGCAATGGTTGATTCCATAGCCTTCTGTTCATCCCACTAAGTCTTGAACTTCTGAAGGCACCCCATTAAGTGTGGGTTTAGAAATAAGAACGTTATGTGCGTGCTAGACTTTATTTTTAGTGCTGTTTTTTTATCCTGTTTATAATGTTGTTTTTAGATTTATTTTTTATACACTTACTATGCTTAAGATATATTCAAGAACCCAATTATGTTTTTCTAACGGACAACGTTAATGTTAATGCAGGTGATAATGACAGGGTATCTGATGCTGTTGTTGGTTTTATTAAAGATTTGCTACAGTTGGCATCACTGTACTGCTGTAACCTGACAAAACGCCTTTTTTCATTTTGACGCCATAATTTTTTATTTGCTAAATCGAAAACCTGATGAGTTACCCTACATGTGTGAAAAAATCTAAGTGAAACAGACTAGTTTTTAATAAATTATAATTCAAATTTCGGAATAACTTTATTTTTAAATGGTTAAGCTGAAACCTCTTCTTCTCGAAACTACTGTGAAGAAAAAAAGACATTAAAATTTTGTCAGCTTACAGCAGTGTAGTTTTTGCTGTTGTTGTTAATGATTTTAGTTAACTGGATTGCTTCTTTATCTATCTTCTGTGTAGGTTTTTTTACCTGAATTGAAATAATAGCAGGGATTTAAGGGAATGCATTTCAACCTGACAGAAATGTAACATGTACCATTCCATGTTTGCTGCATTTTTACATGTATTGTTATAAATACACTTCAAATGAAACTGGGCTTGGAATGAATGAATATGTCCAAATACTTTATTGTGTTGGCCTCTCTTCTAATGAAACTGGTCTTGGAATGAATATATATGTCCAAATGAACTTCTTTATCGTGTTGGCCTCTCCTTTGTTTTGCTGCAGGTGGAACTTGGTGAGGTCCATACGTTTGACAACAAGAAATCTGCTGAAGACCAGGAGGATGCTATGGCCAAGTCTGACAGCGTCATAGCTGTAGGATACTCGTGTGCAGAGAACTGGTTCTTTCTCAGATCAGGTGAGAAGCGGTCTGTTACGTATTGACCTGAATACTTATTTATGAATCACCATTGCTCTTTTTTGTTGTTGTAAGTGCTTTATGGCGCTCGCAACTGCATAAGGTCATAAGAGCGCGCAGGACACATTAAACATTTTCAGTTGGTAGGAAATTTTGAATTTTGCTCGGGTGGCGGCTGAAGCCTACTCTTATAGATTTTAGACCACCAAGGAATCTTTAATGTGTGCAACTTGCACATGGGCCCTCCAAGATTTTTTTGCCCTTGTAAGAGAAGTCTAGGTGTAGATCTTTCCCACCAGAAGATCAGGGGTGTGACCCAGAATAGGGCGGGGGAAAAGGAGGTGAGGGGGTGGGGGCAGAAAATGGAGATGGAAGTAGACAGCAGAACATTGCTAGAGAGCATGGAAGGAGGTGAAAGGAGACAATTTTAGAGAATAACATTTTTCCATCGCTACCCGGATTCAAACCCGGGACCTGTGAATGAGAGGCGAACACCTTAACCTCTAGGCCATGAGAGCCCCCTACCATTGCTCTGGCAATATAGAATTTTGGTTTATGTAAAGACAGCAAGCTCTCTTTTCAACAACTGACTGACCATCGTACCGCAATGTCTAACCTTTGGTAACATTTCTCACTCCATCATTTTCAATAAGATTGCTGATGACTAGATTTGTTTGCAATTTCTTTACTGTTTTTCCATTGTTTATTGCGGTGTTCAAACCTCTGTTTATAGTAGTAGTATAGGGCTTTACGGCGCTCGCAACTGCTAAGGCCATATGAGCGCGCTCCTATGTTTATGACCCCAAAAATTGAAGGTCATTTGAATACTTCTGGAGTTTATGCTGGTGTTTTAGAAGTGTATTACCGAGTGCAGCAACTATGAATGCCATATTTTTCTATTGTTCATTCACACCCTGATCAACCTGTCTATATATCCGTCTTTCCATCCTTCTGTTAGTTTGTGTATTCATTCGTCACTCAGTCTATTCTTCCTTTCTTTTCATTTTATATCTCTTTTGGACTTAAAGCCTGCGCATCTGTTAGTATGTCTTTGTGTCTGTCTGTATGTTTTTGTGTCGTGTCTATCTATCTGTCAGTTGGAAATGTGTGCTTACCTTAATACTTTTTTATTATGAGGTGTTTGTGGCTTATCTAAATTTGATGAGCATTTTCTCTACTTTGCTTATTATTATTTAAGGTTTATGATTTCAAAGAGACATCTGCACAGAATATTTCACTACTATTTTTCATTTCCAGTTCGCTCATGTTGAAGGTAAAGGCAGTCATAATAGACACAAAGTTTGTTACTTTTTAGGTGGAAATTTTGTTTCTCTCTCAGGCCACTTAGCTGGAAGGAAATACACTCTGGGAAGGACAAGAAAATTTATGACTTCTCATGAACTGAACCTTCAACCATCAAACTTTTGTGTTCTTAGGTTGGATGGTTGTTGCTGGTGGGCGATTTGAAGTCGTTTTCTCCGTCTTTCCTTTCAAACATCTTTCATCGTTATATCTCCTCCTTCTTTTCTTTGTGTGTTACTACTCTCTATTTGTAACACCTCAAATCTTTGGCACTTGTCTGACTTATTTGTGTTGCAAGTGCTGTAAAGCTCTTACCAAAACTAAAACTAAACTCAAGTTCGTAACCGCCACCAACAAATCTGGTTGCCTCTAGGATACAATGACACCATAAAAGTGATTTGTTCTTTAACCTTTCAAATCACAGATGTCAGTATTTGCTCTTTTCGGAATGTACACATTGACTGCTTAGTGGAAGACTTTGCAGTATGCCTTTTTAAAAAGTGACGTATGACAGAATCTTACGTTGAGCGTGGGTGGTTTGCGGGTGCTCTCTTGTGGTTTGCTTCTTCTTTCCTATCAAACATCTATCGTCCTTATCTCCCCTTCTTCTTTTTTATGTTTGTTACCTTCTTGTAACACCTTTAATCTTCTGACGCTCATATGACCTTATGCAGTTGTGAGTGCCGTAAAACCTCTACTAAAACAAACAATTACGTTGAGCAGATGAAATGAGTCCAGCCCCTGAGTAATCCTCTCTTTGTTCTTGTTTTCTAATCACACAGGAGTGAAGATTCCAGAAAAACGAGGAACTACCTCCAACTACTTCGACTATTCATCAGACAACACCGAGTACATTGTCAAAGACCCAGCTCAAGTCTGTATTCGCTATCTCATTCAGTATAAGTGAGACAGAAATTCTTTTCCCGTGAACACCATTTTTCATAGAAATTGAAATTTCACGTAGTTTCACAAATTCTTATTTGATTGTGTTTGTCTCATGACGTAGATCTGTGGGTAGATATCGGAGACATCTGTGAAGGGTGTCAACAAACTGATGTGTGTTTGAGAAATTAGACACACTGGGTGGCAGCAAATACAGCCTTCATTTTATTTGTTCAATACTCTCGATTATTTTCGCTATTGGGTTGAATCAAAGACTTAAAAAATCATCGTGGAGTTTGCAAAATATGTAGAAATATATATACACATGCGGTATTCCGTTGAACATTTCAGAGGTTACGTTTCAGCGATGGGGGAAAATTAATAAAGTAGGTACAATATAATTATTATGTATTTTACGCCTTGATAAACCCTCCCCGCACTCTTTCAAATTTCTCCTGTACTCTAATGAATACTTTTTACTCTTGGAGTATGAGAGACCGGTGTTTAAAAAATTGCGCACTCATACCACCGTATGCAGTTGCAAGCGCTGTAAAACACTTAACCCCCCAAGAAAGTTTAAAAATTGAAACATTTGTATACATTTGTGAATAATTTTACCAAGAATAAAATTTTGTAAGGGTGGAATAATGAATCAGCCGTGCAGCGCTAAACGATGAAAGCGACGACGATGATCAGAACGATGTACTGCACCAGAGAGAAAAACCTTTACGTCTTTTCTGGAGGTACTGCTTTGTAAGATTTTCCTTGAAAGGTTTTCTTGCCTTGTCGATGTCATCTGTCGATGAAAGGGGGCCCCCCCAATCTTGTAGTCCACGTCGAGATAACTTGACTCACGTCCTCTCACTTGTTAGCTCACTGAAGACTGGCCCCCATGTTAGTTGGTCATGCGCGAAGACCTTTTTCCGTTGGCCAGGTGCACAAACGTTTGCTGGCCAAAATGTTAGACAAAACAAAATGTTCGATCCTACAGCTTCGTCAAGTAGTCGAGCGTTTTCGGTTAGAAAAAATCCGATGTACCGTGTCTGCAAAATGTAAACCGTGACTCGGTGTAGGAATACTGTGTGTGTCGTCATACTATGCTACATTAATTTCCCAATGCAGTTTTGTTTTTCTAGAGTTTTCTCTCTCGAGCAGATGGTATTGAATAGTATTTGCATGTGCTGGTATATTTTTTTTTTATCGTGAAAAGTTATATCTGTTTGCTTGTCTCATTACATGTTATTTTTCTATAAAAACTAGACAAAAGTCCATCTTTGTTTTTGTTGTTTCTATGATATTTTGGTCGGGATGCTCTTTTACTGGCTGTGGTATTTACCATTATTTATAAGCACTATACTATAGCCTCTTTTGAATGTGAAAGGCTCATACCTGTTACCTCGTCTTGTTGCGTGCTGTTTGACTGTTATGGTATCAGCAAAAAACTGAACAAGACTTGGTTTTTGTTTTCGTATATTTCCTGTGATATTTCGGTCATTTGCCATATTATGACTTTTTGTTTTCATAAATAACATTCACATTTTATGATGGTTTAACTTATCAGATTTGTGTGGTATGTTCCATGATTAGTTTTATAACTGTGGGGGATATGCGCTTTGGAGAATTTTGTATTTGTTTTTTTGTCATATGAGGCTTGAAAATTTGTTTGACTGAAATAAGGCTTTTTAAATATATTTTTTACATTTTTTCTTCTAGTTAGACTAATTCATGTTTCTGTATTAGTTGTTATTGCAAATCCTTTGTGACTGACTTGAATGTAACTACGTAAGCTGCATAAAGATTAGGGAAGTAAGGAGGAGGAGGTCAAGGTCATATTTTATTTGTAAAAAAATGCAACAAATAGTTTGTTGTCAATGCAAAGAGATGACGATCAAATGGAAAAAAAAAAAGCTCTTTGAATCCTTTAAATAGGCCTCCTGAGAGCAGAATGGATCCTAAAACAATTCGTCCAGGGACATAGGCCTATCACGGGTCCTCACCTCAACAGATTCAGATAGGTCTCAAGAATGTTTTAGTTCAAGTAAATTTCACTTGACTTGCAACACAAAATAGTGTTGGAGATTAATGATGTTACTACAGAGTAACATACACAGAAAAGAAGGAGAGATAAGGACGATAGATGTTTGATAGGAAAGAAGGAAAAGCACACCGGAGTACCCCCCAACCACCCACTCTCAAGACTCTGCCCAAAGGTGGACTGAAATATCGCAGAGGGAGGGTATTGACCTTTTGTTTCTCTTGCAAGGTATTTCGCTTATCAGAACATCAATCTTGTGTGCAATCATAATGCTATTGAGTCCTGTTGTTGTATCATTAAATGTTGGAGTTCTTGTTCATATTCTTCTATTCATTCAGAGGAAGGCTCACATGACTTCTAAATAATTCAGTTTGACTGTTTTGCTTTCGCTGAATAATCACTTCAGTCCCTCCGGAATACAGACAATGTGGCAGCTGTTAAGGGTTTAAATGATGTAATTCTCTAAATCTAAGCAAGTCAACAAGCATGTAGTAGGCCTACTGAATTTGTCATCTTTTTTTGTTAAAGATAAACTTTTTATCCTGTATTCTTTAAAGCAGGAAATACAGTCAATGTCCAACACTTTCTGTCTACAAATGGTGGATAGTTCTAAAATTTGTCTTATTTTAATGGTGGAAATTTTGACTTGCTACATTTTGTTTCACAATTTTGTTGCTGTTCTTTTCTGACATTCTTTATATACAAGCCGTGAGTATAATGAAGTTGTTCTGGTAGGTGTGTGTACTTTGACTTTGAATTTTCTTCAGTGGAAACTAAACGCTACGAGTGGTTTACTACACTCAGCGTGTGTATAATGCGGTGACAAATTCTGTGATATATTATGCTTCACTAGCTTTGAATTGATTCCATGATGAATGCTTTTGGGTTGTGAAAATATATTTTAGTTATTCTATGACCGACTTACTTGATGCTTTGAATTTTTGCTCACAAACATTTTGTTCATCTCAATAATATATACTCCCGTCATTTTATCACTAGTAACAAGTTGCTCATTTGATACTGTGATTATTTGTTTTTTTGTGTGAATTTAGATGTGAATTTTCATTGTATTCAAAATGAAGGTGTTCCCTCGGGGTTTGATATTTGTCACTTCTTGAAATCCGCTGTGATGCACATAAGTTATAACAAAGATTACCCCGCTTATATTGGAAAGATCTATGCAGACAGCAAGCAGACTCTGTTCTTTCGTTTGAGTAAAGAGGAGCACATCGAGGCACTAGTGGTCATTTTGTGCAGGGAATGAAAATGACAGACAGACACCACAGGGTAAAAAAAAAAGGAGGGACCTACCAGTGGCGTCCTCCAAGAACCCGCTGACTTGTTCTGTCGAAGGTGTAGAAGAGAGATGTAGACACAGGGAGAAGAGCAGATAGTCAGTCGTATTTATGCAATCGTAAAGACATCTTCAGAAAGTCGTGTGTGATAATACCATTACATTATACTTTTTATACTCCATCTAATACTTTTATATTTTGTCCACTGTCTATCTTTGCTTTCCCTTTTCAGTACAGTTTGTACTTCGATTTGAAATGCAATGTAATGGACTTGAATATAACAGTAATGGTGACCCTATTACGTTTTTTATTCAGATCCAAATACAAAGCTTTGATTGGTTCTTACTTACTCACTTATAAAAAAGAACATGCACGGAGTGCTCATTACGTTTCACTGTGATATGTCAAGTGTTTTCAACTCTAATTAAGACATGTTTCTCCCCTCCCCATAAATTGTTGCACTATTTTAAATATCTGTATCTTTCTCTTTCTGTGTCCCCTTATCATTCTGAATGAGTTTCTCTCTCTCTCTCTCTCTCTCTCTCTCTCTCTCGCCCTCCCACTGTGTCTCTCACTTTGTCTCTCTGTCTGTCACTCACACTCTTTCTCTCTTTCACTCTGTCTCTCTCTCTGAGGCATAAAGAAAAGAAGAGGATGTCATGTACACAATAGTACACACACACTCTTACAAGTTCTAGTGTCTGTTGCGAAAGTGTTTATTTGATAATAGAGGCAATGTGATAATACTTTTTCATTTTGTCTATCATTTACCTTTGCTTTATTTTTTTTTGTAGTTTGCATTTTAATTAATATATATATATATATATATATATATATATATATATATATATATATATATATATATATATATATATATATATATATATATAATTATGATCGAAATGCCATATCACGGATTCATGTAAGAGGAGTGGCTTCAGTATGAGATTCACCCGTACTGGCCAGTAGTCTCTTTTTTGAATGACGGTCTTCTTTATAGCTCAATATGTCCTTTTTTAAAGCTAAATCCTTGACATTTACCCCCCCCCCCCCGATTAAAAAAAAATCTCACTTACTAAGGAAAGCAGTTTCTATCTAGATCTATATAGGGAAGCAGTTTGAACACATTTATTGATGAATTATGTATTTAAAAACTGTAAAAAAATAGAAGGAAAAAAATTTGTAGAGCAAGCTGAGAATAATATGAAAGAGCCTAATGTAGTGGAGTAGTATTATTTTTATTTTCCATAGCACGAGACTTGAAGTGAATTATTTGAAATACGGTTTAATTTTGGCTGTTGAAAACACTTGTGTTGGCAGCTCAGTTGAAAAACTGACCATGTGTTTGGTGTGCTTAGGAAGATAGTACAGTTTTTTTATATAATCATCTAGAATTAATTTATTATATGTGAGGCAGCGTGGTGGAATCAGGCTCTCGTCAAAATAATCAAAGTGAAGAAACTTTCATTTTTCTGCAGGTTTTTGAATTTTTATCAAATTTTTGTTTTTGGCTCAACACCTTTCATGCCCATTAAAGAACTCATTTCTGTGTGGATTTTTCTGAAAAACGTTGATTAAAGGCAAAAAAAATGTAAATTTTCAGTTACCACGGACTCCTAAGCTAAGGAAATAACTAATCTTTGGCGGCCATTTTCTCACTAATTTTACCTCTGAAAACAAGTGACCCCCACCTCCTTCTTTCGCAAATATCTCGACTTTTATTCAAGATAAATGGATACTTTTTTCATCCAAATAAAGACAAGTGAACAAGCTTTAAGATGATACTAACTCTACATGCCCAAAAATTGACGAGAGCCTGATTCCACGACGCTGCCTCACATATGATATATATATATATATATATATATATATATATATATATATGTGAAATATAATAAAAATAGTTTGTCAAGATCTGGTGTTGTTATTATTTTGATATTTGTGCACTCTTATTTTCCTTACATGGAGTTGTAAGATCCACAGCTGTGTATGCATATGCATGAAGGGAGGTCTGAGGTGTGAGCAAACAACTAGAAAAAAAATGTATTTGTAGAAGTTTTCCACCCCTATCAATACATATAATACATTTTTAAGCAGAGTATTCACTTTCAGCAGTGGAGGAATATCGGCCAATTCCAAGTGAGATCAGTTTCAGTTTGAAGGAATCAGACTTAGAAAGTGTGCAACCTTTGAGGGCGGTGCTACTGACTGAAGTGTCTTTAGGCAATGCCCATGTTCTTATGCACAGTAGAATTGTAAATGGGCTGATTCATCAATGTCATGCTCATAACTGTGCCTGAACTGCAACAGGGAACTGCTGCTTTTTCTTTCCTAATCTTTACTATCGTCATTTTTCTTCTACTTCTTTTGTATGTTTGTCACACTCTTGTGACCCGTTATTTATGGGGTGCCTTGAAAGTCGAAGCAGACTTTGTGCTGTTGAGGCTAGAGAGGTGAGCAGAGTAAGCCTGATTCCCAGTGACTGTAAGTTGTAAGGACTTCTCTGTTGACATCCACCCATTGGCACTCATTTGACCTGATGCAGTTGCGAGCGACGTAAAAGCTATTAAAACTAAAACTAAAGAAAGTGTGCTACTTCTATTTTTGTGTCCTTGTTTTTTTGTTTTTTTTAATGAACAAGATACTTGAACTAGCGCATTAACGAGCCATTTGTATCTCACAGAGGAGGTCAACGGACAGGGGGAAAAAAGAAAAAAGATAGAAACACTTTAGATTCTTTGCATAATGTAGTCGTGTCGGTAATCTTGTGGTTACGCTATCTGTAGTCTAGTGGTTACGCTATTGGTAGTCTAGTGGTTAGGCAATCGAGGGTTTAGTGGTTAGGCTACCAGACTTTTACTTGCGAGAATGTGGGTTTGGGATTCGAGGCTCAGCTTTGCTGGAAGTGTCCATGGGAAAGTGCTTTTACAACACAAAATTTTCCCATTTGGCTCTGTCGTATCAGAGATGGACAAAGGGCTCTCATGTTTTAGAGGGTATGGCATTCACCTCTCATACCTCTAGGTCCAAAGTTTGAAACCTGACAGCGACGGAAAATTTTCTTCTTTCGCCACCTTTCCACTTTCCTGCTCTCTAGCCATGCTCTGTCGTCTGCTTTCATCTCCATTATCTGTCCCCTCTCCCCCCACCCCTGTCCCCTTTGCCCCCTTCTCTGGGCTCCTGACTCTTTGTGCAGTCTTTCTACTGCTACTTCTTGGCTCCTTACCGCTGTCTTTCAGCTACACCTCTGATCTTATTATAGGTAAGATCTAATACCTAGCCTTCTCGGATAAGGACAAACAAATCTCAAAGGTCCTGTGTGCGAATTGCACATGTTAAAGATCCCTTGGTGATCTTAAAATTGATAAAGACTAGGCTTTGGTCGCCACCTGGGCAATTAATGTGTCCCGCATGCTCCCATGACCTCATGCAGGTGCAAGCGCCGTAAAAGACCCCCCCCCCCAAAAGACAGACATAACATTCAGAGGCCCTGCCTCTTAATAATTTTAGTCTTGCAAAGATTGTTAAACATGCATAATTTAATTTCAAGGCATTTGGTCAAACTTGAGTAAGTTAC